CACCTAGTTTTTCTCTACTTCAAGTTTCTATTTTTAATAACTCTTGTTCTTCCTGCTCGGGAAAATTTCATCTATCCTGTTCTTTTTTATTATATAATTCTTGATATCTTTTTCATTTAATTTCTCTTTCCTGTTCTAAATTGCTCTCTCTCTCTCTCTCTCTCTCTCTGTATCACAAGTATTACATTTACTATTACTTAATTGTTGATGTTGGCAACTATAATAAGTGCCTTTTGATAATTTTCTATCTGACATATTAATTTGGGAAACTTTCTTTATTATAAGGATGGATTTGTTTTTTTAATTTAGTAATCTCTCTTTCTTCTATCTCATGTAGACAATCGTTTTCGTAATCTCGTTGACAATTTAATCAAAACTGGGCTGATTGAGGGAAATAACAACTTAATCTTAAAGCAATATCAGGAGTAATATTTCTTTTTTCACCAATAATCTCCTCCACTATTTTTTTATCTACTTTTAATTCTTGGGCCAATTTTTCCCCACTGATATTTAAAGGGATTAATAATTCCTCCCTTAATATTTCTCCTGGATGGATTGGCTTTAATTGTTTGTCTTTTACCATATTTAGTGATAGTCAATTATTTTTACTTGATAAGAATGATTATCTGAACCTCATTGAAAGATTATTCGATATTGGTCGTTAATTCAAATCCGATAATAACCTTTTCACTCACCTAACATTTTTCGGAAACGATTACTGGGAAAATCTAAATCCTCTAATCTTTCAGCATTATTCAGCATTTTTAATTTTCGGTAGGTCACTTTGGCTATTTTCTGAAATTTAGCCACAAACTCTTTTTTAAATAATCTTTCGGTTTCTTTATCTCCAAAACTTTTAATCATCTTATATTATTATTTTAGCCTTTATATCCAACACATATTCATTTTAATATCTACTAAATATATTATTTAGTTCCTTTTAATTAGTTGCTAAAAAAAACAATATAATCAATATAGCCCATGTAAACAAAAAAACTATGGTAAACATCAAAACTACTCTGGACGAACTAAAATCCATTATCAACGACCTAAAAACCCAAGCCAACTCCACTACGGCTTGGGATGCCACAGATAAAACCAATTTAGAAAAACGGCTCAACCACCTATTAGACAAAAGTAATCCACGACACACCAACTTAACAGTTGACCTTGACACTGACCTAAAAGACCTGGAAAATATTGACAAATCAATAGGAGCCGAGAAAATAAGAACCGACACAGAAATCAAAAAACTCCAAGACGAAAAAACCCAACTCCAAACCGATATCACGGCCAAGGATGCTCTTATAAAACAAAAGAATGAGGAAATCGGTGATAAACTAACCTCCGACTTTATCACCAAACTGGAAAACCTAACCAAAGATGGAGTAAAATTGGATGACACCAAACTCCAAGAATTAAAAACCATTTTGGAAGAATTAAAAACCAAGGGCATTAGTGCTAATCTGATAGATACCAACACCAAACTCGATAACCTAAAAAACCAAGTAGAAAGCATAAAACCCGACAACAAGACTAATTATTGAAGTATTGGAGCAGCCATCGGCACGGCTATTAGCACCTTATTATTAACCTATTTAGCCCTTCGGCCCACTGATAACAAAAGCATGTATCAAAGTAAATATTACCAAAAAGACGAACCAGAAAACGAATAACTATGAACGAAAAAGAAAAAATCACCTCTTTAAAAAATATCGAAGAACAAGAAAAATTAAAAGTTAAATACGAAGAAGAAAGTAAAGAAAAAGATCAAAAAATCCTAGAATTAGAAAACAAAATCACCAAAAAAAATGATGAAATCTTTGAATTACAAAAGGCTAACAAAAAGACAGCCGAAGAACGAGATGACTGAAAAAAAGAAGCCCATGCTGCTCGAAAAGTCCAATCAGAAACCAAGCAAGCCAAAGAAACTACTGACTTTTTAAGTGAGTTTAAAAAACTCCAAGAGCAAAAAGGAATTAAATTAGATACCGACAATTAACAATTATTAACTAAATATGAATAACTTAAATCCAATATTAGAAAATTTAAAGCAAAGAACCGTTCAAGAAGCCCCTGTCAAATTAATCTATGCCAAAAATGATTTTGTGGTTTTTGATAAAGGCACCTCCGATTTTTACGGAGCCGAGGATGAATATATCTCCGACCAACCCCTAGAAGGAGTAAAGTGAAATAAAGAACTCACGGAAAAAGATTT